AAGTTTCTTGTTACCACGTTTTTCTAAAATACATACGTTTTCCTCGATAACTGCGTTTTATTCTAAATAATTGAAAAGAGAAAATATTATAATTACATTTATTAAAGACCACTTATTTGAATATAGTCGGTACATCTGAACTAAATAAAATTACTTCCCTCGGTATTATCAGATTAGACCAATCTACGCTAGTAACAGTGGCCTCGACCCTAGCACGGTAGAACTAGATAATCGTTAAGCCTATTATACAGAGGGTTCAACAAACGTATAATCAATATTGGTTGTAGATAGGTTGCTTGGATAATTTTTTATTTAAAACATATTTGCATCTCCCTTCTGCCATTTAATAAAACAGAGATAGGTATACTATAATAATTGTGAAAATATAGATAAATATCGACTCTTTATTGATATCGGCACTTGAACTTATAGATAATATATACTAATATTATAAAGGAGAAAGATTCGTATTTTTGTATGTTTCGAAATAACTCAAAAACTATTGGGCCGATTTCAAAAATTTTTACACCATTAAAAAGCTAAATTATCAGTGAGTAACATAGGCTATGTTTTTAATTTTTTTTTAATTCACGCGGACAAAGTCGTGAGCAACATTTAGTAATTGATATCGATAATAAGAAAGATAAAGTTCTGTGATAAGTTCGATGATTCAATAGTGATAACGATAGAGTTGTAATTCATTTCTGCTGATTCATTGTTATTAGTCGATTCCTCAATTCTATTTTCCTATAAATTTTTAGACTCGACTATCAAAAGCATTATAGTTAAGTTGCTTATAGAAAATACAAAAATATACGGAGTGCGTGAGTCAATTCGTCAATGACGAAGTGTAATCTTGGTAATTTTCTTAAGAAATATGGTTGTAATCATATCATACTTCATACTATTATCTTACTAATATTATAAATGCGAAAGTTTAGATGGATGGATAATTGTTAGAGTCTGTAGCCTAAACGGCTGAACGGATCTCGATGAAATTTAGCATAGACGTAGAGGATAGTCTGGAAAAACACATAGGCTACCGGTTTTTTTTTAAATTCCAGACGAAGTCGCGTTCGAAAGCTATTGTCCAATATAAATTTGTTGACAGCAATATAAAAAAAAATCTTGTACAGTGTTATGTATGTTACGATTAGTTCATTTATTAGAGGTCAATTAAAAATGAAAGCTAACAGACCTATCAAAGATATTATTATGCAACCATAAACATTTACACTGTTATTTTAAACAACAACATTATTTAGCGAAAAACTCAAAACTGTTATCGTAACAACTAACAATCATTCAAGGTTTAGTCAACAAAATTCACAAACTGCCAATTAAAGAGAAATCAATTGCTAAAGATTTTTTCACTCATAATAAAAACAGTTTGTTCAAAATCAAACAAATTTATAGAAGGAAACCTTATTCAATGTTGTGTTATTACATTAGAGGTTTTATTTCAGCTGACAATGCTAGTTTCTGATTAACAGTAGTCAGCAAAACACTATAAATACTAGATTCCAATATTTCTTATAAAAATATCACAAAAAAAGTACTTACAGTTCTATTTATCACCACTCCAAAGTAGTCAATGAGGTTCTCTCCGTAGAAGAAGTAATTGGATGTAAGCAAGAAGTACCAGGAGAGGGAGCGGAACCACGGCAGGCCATGGACTCGGTACACCGCATAGCCAATGTTGATGATCTCCTCAAAGCATTTCACTTGCACACAGAGAACCTAAAGTAATAATAATATTACTACTGACAGCTTTATTATTATTTTGAAGCCTAAACAGCTGAACGGATCTCAATGAAGTTTGGCATAGATTTAGAGGATAGTCTGGAAGAACACATTGGCTACATACTTTTGTTTTTTTTAATAACTTGTAGACAGAGTCGAGAACAAAAGCTGTTCTACTATGATGCCCACTACAAATGCTCAGTTTTTACTGTTTAAACTGATCTGTTTAGGTATAGGTAAATCAGTAACTGTAACTGACAGTTACAGTTTTACAGAAGAGTCAAACTGTCACAAATGTGCACCTGTAGCTGGCTTAATGTCAAATGACTTACCAGGAGTTAATATTAAAATTGTTCATATCTACTGACTCTTTTAAATAACATAAATAGCTGAATCTAAAATTAAATGAATGTACAAAAACAACTAATCCAATAAATAATAAAACATGTACTTTGTAGATAATATATGCAATATTAAGACATGACTTGCATTCATTAGTACAATTATTGATATGAACAGTTGCATAGTACAAATTGAGGTATGAAAGCAATCAGTTTTTGACTGCCCAGTGTTGGATAAAGATCTTCACAAGTAGTATTTAGAAACCCTTATAAAGAATTAAACTGGAACTACAATTATTGTAAGTTCATGATGATATTTACAGTTATCATGAGGGCGAGTGGTCCTCCATAGATGAGTAAACAAAACGCTCCAATCATCAACCAGGTGAAGATGCCTCGGATCACCCAGTTCCTCCATCTAAACAAGTTACAGATTTTAGTAATACCTAATAATGGCTTATTTAATTGTATGTTGCAAATTTACATGACCCTGTTAATAAAAAATTATAGATATAGAAATCAATTAAAAAAAATATTTTATGTACAAAGATTTTAATGTATTTTAATTGTATATAATAACGTAAATTTAATTTTAATTTGTATATATTTCACAGGCATTTTTATAACTCATTCATACTTAAGGATGTTACTGAAATGATACAATAAAATTTCCTTGTTTAAAGCAGTTTTGGGGGAAAATACTATAGAAAACTAACCGTGAAGATAATCCAGATAGAGCTGAATCCAAGATCTCAGGCGTTTTGTCAGTACCCTGAGGTAGAGTTTTAGCTAGTTCATCCACATACTTCTCCTCTAAAACCTTTTCTTCTTCTGAATCCACCTAGAGTTAATGTTTCATATTTTTAATAATTGTAAAACTAAAAAGGATTATTTTATAATAAACAGGTTTTTAAATAACAAGAAATAGTTACATCTACATGATCCGATTCACCGGCGGTTTCCACTTTGTCATTCCCATCGCCTTCACCGCGCCTATGCCTTAATTCACTCATGGTTTTTGCAAATAAGATATCACAAAACTGCAATACACGAACAAATTTTACGACACTTTATTATTTTAATCCATTTATGAACAAGACAACCGTCTTATGTTTTCCTTTTACAGCTAATTGTCAAACGAAAAATCAATAGTTCGCTTTTTTTACTGTGTTACTATACTTAAAAATTAATCTCGATAATTTATTGATTTTTATTTAAATAAATTAAAAACGTATTTCTAGAACTCACCTGCATAATTAACTATAAAACTCATTTGTAAAAAAAATAATAAAACACTCTTTATCTGTTGAGATGTATAAGATCTGATGTAAGAGATCAGAAATTTGAAGAAGAAGAACAATTGAAATTAGTTTCCTTAACTTTGGTAAAAATTCTGTAATTTTATCACGGCTTATTCAATTGTTATTTAAATCAAACAATAATCTAGCAACGCAACATTTTTTTTACGTCTTTACGTTTTATCCTGTTAAATATTAATGCTCTGTGGTCAGTTTAAAAGTAAATTTTAAAATGTAAATAAACATGGCGTGTGAATCTGATGAATTCGAAGCAAATATTCACAATGTAAGTAATTTATGAAGATAAAGTAGTATAGAATTATTAAAATTCTCATTAAATAATTTATATTACAGTTAAGGACTGCTGTACGGAAATCTTTCGCACGTATCTATGCCAGTTTAAAAGCCAGAGAACTGAAGACACTGCGGCAACTTGATGCTATCCGCAAACAATGCCAAGATGACAAAGACTTGAAAAGGAATTGTGCTAAGAATATTGAGATTAAATATGATAATGAGTCCGTGCTTTTAGAAAACATAAGTAACTACGGTATTATTGATTTTGAGAAGCTTAATTTTGATAGTTCTACATTTACACTAGAAGATTACGTTAGTCCTAATGATGATCACATGTACTCTTACAAAACTATCGAAGACGTAACAAAGGAAGAGGATAATATTGACTTGGAAGCGATAGAAGAGGCTGCTTTGAAAGAAGTGATTTCTACGGATGATTGTGTATGTTTTGTAACTGTTCAAACAGAAGATGTCTCAAAAAAATTTAGAAATTTGGATACTGATGTTATGCCAATAAATTTAATCATTAAAGAAAATAATCACGTATGTGAAAATAACGAGAGTGATAGTTCTGAAAAAGTTGAAGATGAAAAATGTGAATTGGATTCAGAAATTAAGAAAATAAACCCTACAGATGATTGGTTAAATTCAATTAAAAGCCAAACGGAGACTGAACCATCACAAGTCACTGATGTTATGGAACACAGCACAATAACATGTACATAATGCAAGCTAATTAGGTAATTTTACATAATTTTAGTAACATAAGATAGATGAAATAAATTTTATATTTTTCAAGTATGTTTAGTTCTTTGAATGTCTACTCCAGATACTTGAATACTTATTTCATAAAATATCATTTTTGTGTCCTTGTAATTTTCGAAACCTTAAAAAATTTTAATAACCTGGGATTTTATGCTTAATCTTTGTCCTTCATAATCACACATTTTATCTACAAATGTGAAAGATACCTAAGAGATTATATTAACAACTATCAAATATATGAGATAGGATGAATTAACATCAACCTTTTTTAGACCTTAGAAAGTGGAGCTTATCATTTTAACACACTCTTTAATTTTTTTTATTGACTTTTGTAATTAATATTTTAGTCTACCAAAGCAATTTTAGGATCTGATGTATTCAGGGATTTAAAGGTTGTTTAAAATAAAACCAGAATAAAGCATCAACTTCTATTGTTAATACATTTTTACAAATGGCGTTACTGAACACTTAATACTAATATGCATTGACTTCCGATTATAATTCCTAATGAATAAATATTACCCTTCATAATGTCCGCACTTAAAGTGCAGAAAATTACAATAATTGATACCAATCTTCCAATACCGATACCATAGCTGGATTCTTGCATCACATCTGTTAAATTACAGTTTTATGGCACTTATACATGACAATTTACATACCATCCTTAAGTTACTGTCAATGGATGGACTCTGTTTATATTGGAAAAGGTATACTACTTTGTACTCAACTTTTTCACTGGAAATCTTAATGGCACAAAAAAGGGTGCTGGTGCTAAGGGAAGTTGTTTTAAAGTGAATCCCATTCCAAATGTCTAAATGTAAACATTAGGATCAGATATATGGAAGATATTAAAGTTTTTCATGTATTTGTGAAAAATTAAGTTTTTATTTTTTTAAATATCTGAGTTTTTGTGCGTAAAAAGTGTGATGTATCTAATGTTTACAATAAAGACTGTTGGTATGGGAAAGGGAATTAATGTGATATAAAGGTAAAATAAGCACTTATAATGGAAGGGTAGAATGCAGTACAACTACAAATACTGTATATAAATAGGCACTAATTAGCTCTGAAAGGTTACATTTTTAGGCCATCATTGAATTAATTGAAATACAATTATTGTCGCTTACAATCAGAGTGAGCTACAAACTATCAATGATACAGATTAAAATACATGAATACTGAGTTATATAATTTCTAAAATGATATTTTCGATGATAAGTTAGTAAGACTAAATAATTCCATTAGGAGGATACAATAGTTATCAAAGGATAATTCCGCAAGTTGAGAGTACAAAATCTCAAATGAATACAATTTTCATCTAAATAATAAAGTGTATCAAATGAAGTTACGAGCAACTTAAGCTAGCTTACTTTATGTTATTACTAATATTGTACATTTTAAACAAAATTAACATAAAACTCAGATACTATACAAGGCCGAAGTCCGTGCATACCGCTGCAACATCACGATTGTTCTGCTTTTCAGAATTATTAGCGGCCATATTTAACTCGACTAGCGTATCGACGCTGTTTATACTGACACCTTTTAATATCTTCTGCGCTGCTAAACTGGTAAAATTGAAACTCAAATCGCTTAAACTAGGGAAATTGTATATATCCTGGTTCTCTTTCTTCACATCCTGACTCAGGCTGTACCTTTTCTGTTTGTTTTCTAAACTATTTATTTTCTCCGTCGATGTGTTAATGTCTTTCAATGGCTCTTGGTTCTTCAATGCCAGATTAGGCTCTGATCCTAATACTGTCGGCTTTTGTTCGATTCCTTTCGTTAGCAAATTAGCGATCGACTCGGTGCTCATTCTGTTGTTCACGTTCGGCAGGCCGTTCAACATTTGCAAAGCTGCGGCCTTTTTTAACAAGTCGACGCTTTTTAGTTCGCTGTTCGAATTTATATTCGTTTGTAGGCCACTGTTAGCCGATGACAAAGAGTTCTTCTGATATCTAAGGCTGCCTAAAGATCCTATAATATTGTCATAGCTTTTTGTGGGGGTCGATGGATTACTGTTCGTTGTTCCATCAATGTTGTGAATATTGTTGTGTATTGCTGGTGACGCGGGATTAGACGCGGCTTCATTAGTGTTGTTTAGTTGGTTTTTGTATACGAAACTATTATTGTTCGTCGCGCCTATTTGTAAAGACAGCTTTCGATTATTGTTCATACCAGTGTCGTTAATGGAATTCTTAATGAATTTGTTCTCTTGTACTTTCACCGGCTCGGCTTCTTGAAACATTTGCTTGTTTTTTTCAACGCATACGTCAAAGGACGTCTCTGTTGGGTTTTTTGGCTGTTGATTCGAACCGTTCTGAGAAACTGATACTACTCGCGTATCGTCGTTAAAAATGTAAATGTTGCTGCCGTTACTAGTCTCTGTGACCTTTCCATTTTCGAATGTAATTACTGACCGCACTGGGGAATTCTGTACGTAAACTTTGGTGTTGGTTCCACCGTTCTGTGAGATAGTATTGGTCGTCACTTTTAAAGTGATAGAATTATTGGAATTGGAGCTAGCCAACACCGATGTGGCGGGGTTTTCAAGCTTGGATCCGAGCGTTTTATTATGCAATGGCGTAGCTTTCTTGGGTGTATTTGGGCAGTTTTTTGGTGAGGTATTTCCGTTTTTTACAGTCTCGCCTCCGACTATGGGCGGTTTGGTCCTATACTTGTGTAGGCTTTTTGGAGAACTTTGCAAGCTTTGGACTTTTACGAGAGATTGTGCTCTACTTAACCCGGTCGTTCCGTTACTATGACTAGGTGATGGCTTCAATGTTCTATCTGAAATGTGCGATTCTAAGCTCGAATGGCCGCTGCTGCTCGTGTGGTAGTTTCTTTTTGGAGAACTATCAGTGATTTTGTCTTTACGCGGGGTCCGATGTGTGTTGCTCTCTAAACTCGACGGCCCGCTAGTAGACGTAACATTATCAGAATAATCCACTCGCCTAAGACTTCCGCTAGGGCTGTCCCGCAACTTGTCACTTCTCTGTGGTGATCCGAAGTGATCTAAGATTGTTTTATTGGTAGAGCTTCTGCTTAACGTCGATCTTGGTAGACTGCCCGAGCTGGGGCTGGAGTGTCGGACCGGAGAATGGTCGTAGTGCACAGAGCCGGCCAAACCCGATTCCGTTGAAAGATGCCTCTTGTGCCTTCGTGGCAGTGTGGATGAACGGTTACTTATTTCTGATCCATCGTAGTAAGATGACACATACGACGTTTGACTCTGCAGGGACTCCTGAAATAAAAATAACAAATAACATTAAAATTGCGTTCTCAGCAAATTGACGGGTAATGGTTGATCAGACTTATACAGTATATCTGTTCCATTGTAACCTTCAGTGCCCTAATTGCCTTGGCTGATTTTAAGTAATCATACAACGGACTGTCAGTTGTGCAGAGTGATTTTCTCTTCGGATTACCATTCTTTGTCTCAGGTGTAGTTAACGATTGTGAAATCCTACGCACCTTTGAGTTGGTCTGCGTGGCGACGCAGTGCAGGTGCACGGCCTTGGAGTTGAACCAGTCGGCGGGCGGGAACTGCGCAGAGAAGGTGCTCATCGCGCGCGCCGCCTTGCTGCGGCCGCTTCGTCTAAATAAGCGGGACAGCAACGACGCTTTCTCTGAAACACAAAATCATATGACAGAAATAATGTAAATCTTCAAAATTACATTTTAAACAGAAATAGGATAATGACAAACTGGTATTTACAGTAAAGTAACTTTACATTTATAACAATATTATATTTTAGTTACTGTTCAGAGAAGACCATCTAACTTACTTGGCGACGCAGATTCAACGCTGGGCGGGTAGTCGGTGGAGGAGGAGCTGTCGGTAGTGTTGACATTCTTGTGATGCAGACTGCGCGTGGAGGCGCAGCGCTGCAGGTACTTGCTGGACGAGCCGAATATCCGCAGCGAGTGCCGCCGGTCCAGCGACCGGGGCGCGGGGAAGGACGCGCTCCGCCGCTTGTTTGGACGACCGTACAATACTTTATCGTTTGGGTTGCCTACAACAAAAAAATGTTGTTATTATATGGTTCGTATATTACAATTAAATACCTAATAATGAAAAAACATCAATAAGAACTTTCTAAACATCATTCATAGAATTCATCAAATACAATCATAGCGGTGCACATGACGGTCATAGACACGTCATAGCTTCAAATGATATAACTTATCATGTACAGTTAGATAAAAGTCGTTAAAAAGGTAAATAAACAGCTACGATCTGTATTAAAGTATCAAGAAATTAATTGACGGTGAAGTATTAATGAAAACGTTGCTATAATTAATACCGAGAAAGTACTCTTGATTTGTGTTAACCATCACACCTATAATTATTAAAATTTAATTGTCGTTGCATTTTATAGCACTAATAACTTCAAGTGTTAATTGCCGTCCCATTACAGATTACACAGATTACAGTTTCGTGAAGGTGTAAACACGATTATGTCGTGTCTGATCGTATTTAATCTATGACCAAACTTAAATATTTATTATTTTTCTTGAGTAATATCAAACCAACGCCGTTTTCATAGCATTAACACTCGGAAGACTTGTAATAAAATGTCTATTTTACTATTTGCTGCACATTACAAATATATCTATGAGTTCTCTAACGATCCGCCTAGGTCACTAGCCAATAGCGTCAAAGATGGTATAGGTAAACAGAGAGTAAAAACTGATCGACCTGTAAGAGGAAATACAAAAAGCGATCGCAGATAAAGTGAGCACCACACCTAGCGGCATTCCTCTCCATCTGCAGAACTTGATGGATAACATTCGAATCAAAAGAAATGGATACATGACATTTGTAGACGCATCCGTCTCTGTAAGGACGCGACCACAAGTTCATATTTTTTATTAATATTAATGATAATCACGATATCGATACGATTAGAAATTTATTGAGCATTTAAACTATGTTCATCGAATAGCATGCGTCTTATTGATTACATACAATATAATTGATAAAGTTACGCCATTGGCTAATTTAAGGTACTATAAATAATTCTTATATT